GGGCCTCGAGACTCCCACATAGAGGAATAAGAAACTGCACAAACAAAACTTTCGCTAGTTCGCGCGGATTTCTTGGATCTGTGCTGGACCCCCCTCCCTGGCGTGCGGAGCGCGCGGATCCACAACTCCGCGCGGAGCGCCAAAACCTCATGTTTATGCCGATGTGTTCTTCTTATTTGTCTTCTTATTCTTCTTATTATTCTTCTTTTTCTTTTGTTTCTTCTTCTTCTTCTTCTTCTTCTTATTCTTCTTCTTCTTCTTCTTCTGCGAGAGAGAGAGAGGACCCTGATACGCCCAAACGAGCACAATCACGTCCCAAATCCTGATGCTCGTCTTCTCCGCCCTGGCCCCCAGCCAAGAGAGCTCAAAATCCGATCGACAAATAGGGCGGCGATCGAAATGAGTCGGGTCGGCGGAAATCGGCAGCTGAGTCGGGGAAGGCAGGCTAGCGGCTAGCATGACCCCGGTAAGGAATCGGAATCCAAATCGGAGTCCGAAAGCGAACCAAATCGGAATCGAATCGAATATCGTGCCATCGCTCGGACGGGGACGAAGAATGACATAAACATACAAACTCGGAGGTCCGCGCGGATTGTTCGGATCCGCGCTGGACCCCCCTGGCGGCGCCTCCGGCGCCGCCCCTGGCGCGCTCCGCGCGCCTGGGATTGTGCGCGTGCATTGTTTCCTCGGTGGCCCTCACCGAAAAGAAACATGCACGCGTCCGATCGGTGCCAAAATCCCCGACGGCCAGACGAGGGGCCCCAGATGGCAGAGCACCGCGTGCTCATGCGCGGGCCGAGGCCTGGGCCCCGATGGGCCCCGATGGGCGATGCACGGGCGGCTTGGGTGCTGACGCTCCCCGCCCCCCCCTCTTGTCGGGGAGACGTAATGCTCCGGTACTGGGGCGGGCTGGCCTGACAAGGGGCCAGCATGAAAATGCCGAAGCCCGATATGAAAATGGACACGCGGGCCCCCGCTGCACACATCCCACGGAAACCGGACCGTCAACATTCAGGACGCGCTCGCCAAAAACAATTCCTTTTTTTTTCAAAAAAAAAACACTGCGGCAAACTCGAACTCTGGCTGGCTCGAGTCTTGCGTTCCCCCCCCCTCTTGGAGCCGGGCCCCCCCCGTCGGCGCCCCCCGACCCCACGCGCCGATTTAGTTCTGCACGGCTGCGCCCACGAGGGCTGCAGCGCTGCTGGCCTGCCCAGGAGCTCGAAGAGGCCAAGGCGAACAGAAGTGGCAGTCCTTTTTTTGATCTCAACGCCTGCGCAGCCTAGATGATGAGAAAAACAACGGAGAAAAAAAACACAGCAGCGGCGACTGGGAAACCACTGCTGGCAGTGAGGGAGACCTCACTGACCCAAAGAGTACCTCCAGCAGCCCCATGGGCTAGGAGGCGCTGGCCACGCGACGGGCGACCACGCCGTGGCCAGAGCAAGAGAAACGCAGCCCAACGCCTCAGCAGGGCATACGGCCAGGGAGGGGAATTCCTCGCCCGTGCCTGCCGCGCAACCTGTACAGAAAGGTTGGCGGCTCCCTGAGCAACTGTCACCGCAGGGGAGACATCACCCCACGGCCGTGCGACAGGGGGCGCGGACATCGCTCGCCGCACAGTGGGGCCCCCGAGGGATCGGGAGCGGCCAAGAGGGGGGGTCCAAGAGGAGGGGGTGCAAATCATGACCGGCGGCATGTGCGCGGCCCAGCGGGGGGGCCAGGGATGTAATGAAATAAGAAAAGGCGCCATGAAATCTGGGGATATATCATGGCCAACGCCATGAATCCCCCTCCCCCCCCTAGTCATCACCCCCCTCTTTTCCGCCCCCGAAGGGAGGCGGGTACCCTGTCCCCATCCAGTCACCGACGCCCCCAGATGCAGTCCCATTCTGCAGGCGGGCTGACCATCGCCGTGGCGGACAGCCCTCAGCACCTACATGACACAACCGACCACGACATCCGACGCCACGCGATCGTCGACACCAGCCGGCCACGACGTCCGAGGCCACGCGATCGCCGACACGACCTGGGCTCGTCGAGCTCTACGCCGCGAGGTCGTCGAGCTCAGACCGTTCCTTGGGCCCCCGAGGGGTGCGGGGCGCCGTCCCAGAAAGCTTGGACATCCCGCGGCTTTCGGAGCCTTCCCCGAGGACGCAGAACAACAACTTCTCAGAAGGCGCGCGAGAAGGCTCCTGAGAAGTCCCGCCGCCTTCTGAGAAGGCCCTCTCCTCTTCCTCCTCTTCCTCCTCTTCCTCCTCCCCCTTCCCCTCCTCCTCGTCCTCGTCCTCCTCCTCCTCCTCCTCCTCCTCCTCTTCCTCCCCCTCCCACCTCTTCCTCCTCCCCACCCCTCCTTCCTCCTCCTCCTCCTCCCTCCTCCTTCCTCCCTCCTCCCTCCTCCCTCCTCCCTCCTCCTCCCTCCTCCCTCTTCCCTCCTCCCTCCTCCCTCCTACCCCTCCTCCTCACCTCCCCCCCTCGCTCCTCGCCGAGGGAGGCGGGGCGCCTGCGGGCGCGCCTCTCGGGGCGCGGCGGGCGCGGCGGGCGCCCCTGCGAGAGCGTCGAGCCAAAGGCTGCGGCTGCGCAGGGCGAAGGAAAGTCATCCGCCTTCCTCGTCTTTCGGCATTGGGCGGAAAGAGGGGGGGACGGGGGGGGGGGGGGTCTGGCTCCGGACCTCTGCTCAATGCGACTGTCTGGAACCGTGCGTCCCATGGGGGGGACCCCGCCTGCCTGAAACAGGCGCCAGAAACGTTTTCCGTCAGTCGCGAGGCGGCGAAATCCGCTCCAGCGAACAGCCAGGTAGGGGCACTACACTGGCGGATTGGCCGGCGTGCAAGGAGGGATGGGGGGGAGGCCGAGGGGAAGAAGGGACGCCCAGACGCCCAATGATTCGACGAGAAGGCGCCAGAAACAGCCAAGATCGACTCCGGGGTGGGGGGATGGGGGGGGCGCGAGGGCCCGCTAGGGGGCCACATGCGAACCCTACCCTTCCCCCCCACGATTTCTGAGCGGGAGGGTGGGGTTCACTTCGTTCGGGAGCTCCCGAGCGACGTGAACCCCACCCTCCCGGGCCCCTCAGAAATCGTGGGGGGTAGGGGTAGGGTTCGCAGGTGGCCCCCTACCCGCGCCGATCGGCAAAACAACGAATAAGACAGCGAGGACTGCCGACGCCGCCCCGCCCCCCGCCCGCGGGCGCGCTGCGCGCAGCGCGCGCGCCAGCCTCGGAGCGCGGCTCCTGCGGCGGCGCGCGCGCGCAGCGCGGCGCCGCGGCGGCGCGGTCAGAGGCGCCCGAGCTCCACGGACAGCTCCCTGCCTGCCAGGGGGGGGGGGGGGGCCGCGCCCGCGCAGGGGCGGCCGCAGCCGGCGCCCGGCGGCGCAGGGCGCCGCCGCGGTGGTGCCAGGAGGCTCCCGGGGAGGCGAAGAGCGTACAGGGCAGTTTTTAATACTTAGGATGTTTGTTTTTTACATCGGATTTTGAAGACATGATTAGTTCAGGAATAACTTTATGCATGAACTCATCGTTGTTTTTGAAACTAAATCCTTGCATTTGTTATACATGATCCGCACGCGGAGCATGTATTAATTAGCCTGGCGGAGGACCCAACCATATGCGGGTAGTAGTGGTAGTAGTAGTGGTAGTAGTGGTAGTAGTGCGGTGGGCGCATGGGAGCGCAGCCACGGGGGCCTTCGGTGGAGCTCCCTATGGGGCCACGAAACGTGTGATGGGTGTGCCGAAATCTGTGCGGTGGGCGCATGGGAGCGCAGCCACTGGGGCCTTCGCTGGAGCTCCCTATGGGGCCACGAAACGTGTGAGGGGTGTGCCGAAATGGGTGCGGTGGGCGCATGGGAGCGCAGCCACTGGGGCCTTCGCTGGAGCTCCCCATGGGACCACGAAACGTGTGAGGGGTGTGCCGAAATGGGTGCGGTGGGCGCATGGGAGCGCAGCCACTGGGGCCTTCGCTGGAGCTCCCTATGGGGCCACGAAGCGTGTGAGGGGTGTGCCGAAATGGGTGCGGTGGGCGCATGGGAGCGCAGCCACTGGGGCCTTCGCTGGAGCTCCCTATGGGGCCACGAAACGTGTGAGGGGTGTGCCGAAATGGGTGCGGTGGGCGCATGGGAGCGCAGCCACTGGGGCCTTCGGTGGAGCTCCCTATGGGGCCACGAAACGTGTGAGGGGTGTGCCGAAATGGGTGCGGTGGGCGCATGGGAGCGCAGCCACTGGGGCCTTCGCTGGAGCTCCCTATGGGGCCACGAAACGTGTGAGGGGTGTGCCGAAATGGGTGCGGTGGGCGCATGGGAGCGCAGCCACTGGGGCCTTCGCTGGAGCTCCCTATGGGGCCACGAAACGTGTGAGGGGTGTGCCGAAGTGGGTGTGGCTGACGCATGCGGGCGGTGGCACTGAGGCCTTCGGTGGAGATCCTTATGGGGCCGCGAAACGTGTGAGGGGTGTGCCGAAATCTGTGCGGCGGGCGCATGGGAGCGCAGCCACTGGGGCCTTCGCTGGAGCTCCCTATGGGGCCACGAAACGTGTGAGGGGTGTGCCGAAATGGGTGCGGTGGGCGCATGGGAGCGCAGCCACTGGGGCCTTCGCTGGAGCTCCCTATGGGGCCACGAAACGGTGTAAAATGGGCGCGGTGATGGGAGCGCAGCCACTGGGGCCTTCGCTGGAGCTCCCTATGGGGCCACGAAACGGTGTACTGGGTGGGTGAAACGCAGGGAAGAGGGGGAGGAGGGAGGAGGGGGAGGAGGAGGAGGAGAGGAGAGGAGACGCGGGCCACCGTCTCTTCAAAACGAGGACCCAACACCACAGGATGGTTGGGAAAAACGGCACTGTAAATCGAGTACGGGATCGACTGCAGAATTGATGTACGCCGAAATTGATGCAACCGGCGAATATACGAGAATCACGTCGGATGTTCGTAGATCTACGGGACATGATACGTAGTTCCTCCGTGGATGCGGCCGGACGATCAATTCTGGGGTGAATCGTTCAGGTAGTCGATCCCCCACTCGGATACAAGGGGGCAAGAGAGGGGGGAAATTTCCATCTGGGCTTCCCTGGATGCGCCGTGCTTTGGATGATATGCATGATAGACAGCATGCGCACGCGCTGGCAAGACAGCGCGGCCCAGACAACCCGTTGGGCCACCCCACAATCATCCGGACCCCCCCCAGACAACCCCCCTTGGACAAGCCTCTCCAGAATTCTGTTCCATCAGATATGGTAGATGTTCCTTTCGGATCGTTCAATGGTGAACGTTTTCCGAGTCGGCCTTTCGACACTGGGCGGCAGGGGGGAGGGCGAGGGGGGAGTCCGGCTCCGGACCTCTGCTTGGCGCGGCTGTTGGGGGCACAGTGCGTCCTGTGGGGAGACTCCACGCCTGCTGGAAACGGGCGCCCCAAACAGCCAAGATCCACTCCTTCGGGTGGGGGGGAGGGTGCGTGAGAGGCCCCGCGCCGATCGGCAACATATAAAAAACGACCACATGGTTCGGGGGCGAGGAGCGCAGCTGCTCCTTTTCGGGATGCTCCATGGCTCCTGGGGGGCTCCGCCTCTCTGGGCGTCCGGACACCCGAGACGGCCCGAGGGGCCCCTCCAAGATAGTTCCCAGACAGTTCTCCTCCTCCTCCTCCGCCTTCTCCTCCTCCTCCTCCTCCTCCTCCTCCTCCTCCTCCTCCTCCTCCTCCTCCTCCTCTTCCTCCTCCTCCTCCTCCTCCTCCTCCTTCGCCTCCCTCACCTCCTCCTCCTCCTCCCCCCTCCCTCTCCTCCTCCTCCGCATCCCCCTCCCCCTCCTCCTCCTCCGCCTCCCTCACCTCCTCCTCCTCCTCCTCCTCCTCCTTCTTGCGCACGACCCCGAGGCGAAGAGCACAGCTGCTCCCTCCCGGCTGCTCGTTGGGCTTCGTGTGGGGGAGCGCGCCGCCCGCATGGGGCGCCCGGCCGCCCCAGCGGGGGGGAGGCCTCGGGGCTCCAGAGCGCGTCCCTGGCCCCAGAGATCCTCCCCGCCGCGCGCGAAACTCTTCGAGGCGCCTGGGGTCCCCCCGGGCCTCGCGGAGGAAGCTCCAAGGAGGCCATCTGGGCCTCCTGGGGAGTCCAGCGGGGCATCGTGGGCCAGGGACACCTCCGGCAGCACCCGACGTCCTCAGAATTCTTCCCCAGAGGGGGGGGGGACGACAGGGGAGGACGTCGAACGCCGACGCCGACGCCGACGCCGAGCACCAGGTGCCCCTCCCGGGGCGATGGTGGCACGACCTAAGAGCGGGCCCCTCCACCGTGCACCTCGTCATGCTTCATGTCCTGCCGCGTTTCCTCCTCTTCGTCCTACCCCGACGACGAGAAGTTCAAGAATTCCATTCCTGAATGTGCTCAGACTGATTCCAAACTTCTGCGTGATATCTGCATCACCTTTTCGTTTCACCGCGTGCTCTGTCATGCCCCTGAATCGCGCAACTCACCTGGCGATACTTCCTGGGGACCTGCGTCATCCATCCTCGTCAACCTCATCCTGCTTATGGCCGCCCTGGACCTAACTCCTTAATGTGCGCGTCCAACTCCGCCGACTCCTGCGCAGTCGGGGACGGCGCCGGCCCGACGCGCGCGCGGAGAACAAATACGAACGTCTCATGAAAGAAACACAGATCCAGACTTCCTCCTTCTCCTCCTCCTCCTGCTGCTCCTCCTCCTTATCCTCCTCGCCTTCCTTCTTTCACCCCCCTACCCCGTCCATTGTCCACTCCACAGCCTCCGGTCAATTCTCTCTGCTTCCTCCGCTCCATCCACGTTATGTTCTCCTTCGGCCAATTTAACAACGATAATGGCGGGCACATGTGTATATCCATAAGGGCTTCGCCCCCTGCCGCCGGCCCCCTCTCTCGGAGAATGGGCCATGGAAGAGCGAAAACCTGAGGCTTTGGCTTCGCCGCGAAGCAGTGTCGGAACCTGTTTGTTTTTCGACCCTGACCCCACGGATCTGCGTGACGGGTGCCGCCGAATTTCAAACATGTGGCAAATCACCTCTGTTTTTGGACCTTGACCCTACGGATCTGCGTGAGGGGTGCCGGCGAATTTCAGACATGTAGCACATCCCTCGTGTTTTTGGACCCTGACCCTACCGATCTGCGTGAGGGGTGCCGCCGATTTTCAAAAATGTGGCAATCCTCTGTCTTGGACCCTGAGACCCCGCCGATCTGCGTGAGGGGCGCCACCGAATTTCAGAAATGTGGCAAATCCTTTGTGCTTTTGAACCCTGACCCCTCCGATCTGCGTGAGGGGCACAACCGAATTTCAGGGGAAACATAAAATCCCTTATGTTTTCGCACCCTGACCCTGCCGATCTGCGTGAGGGGTGACACCGGATTTCAAAAAAAGTGGCAAATCCAATGTGTCGGACGGGGGCCGCGCATTGCTATTTCGACTTTTTCGGCATCTTCGCCTACAACCGCAACTTCGACGTCGCGCGCGCCGCTCTCGCGTTCAGTGCCCTCCTGTCGTTGACCCTCGCCCCGCCCCTTTTGAGGTTGATATGTTCCACTGGCACATTGGGGCTTGACGGGCCCGGAGGAAAAATCTCAGAGAACCCCCGCCTCGGAACAACGGGTTTCTCCATTGCCCCATCCACCTGCTGCGCCGGCTCTTCCTTTCCTTCGGGAGCCCGAATGGTGAGTTTTATGTTGCCCCCGTCGCACTTAAGGACCCCATCGAAACAGTGTCGAAACAGTGTCGGACGAGTGTCTCCCAGGGCCCGATACATGAAAACTATCGAGTGTCGGTATGACTCAAATAGGTTGGACCAAACAAAGTGGAAGGTCCCGCTAAGTTCCCGCATCGCTGCCATCCTGCCGCTGCTCTCTCCGCTGCAGATAACTGCGCGATCTGCCGCTGGCATCACGATCCAGGACTACTGGGTTGCCATCTATCATTTTTCGCGCAGGCAACACTGCCTTCTTGACGCCGACGACCTGCATGGGCACAATTGCAATGTCGCCTGTTTTGCTTCGACGGGCAAATAGTTCCTGCAATCAGTTCCGTCAGCTGCTTTGTGCTGGGGGAACTCTTGGACGCCTCCATTCTTGGCGCTGGGAAGTACGTCCGCTCGCTAGTCGACAGTGCCCACCACAGTGACCACAGTCTCCACGTTGGATTCTGGAGTGTCCTCTGGGACCACGTCTACATCCACAGACCAGCCCGAGGTTGCCTGCGTTGCCACTGCTTTCACACCCGAGGGCCTCGCGCGCGTGTCGCTAAGATGTCCCGGGCCAGTATCTTCAGCGGCAAAGCGGGCTCACGCGAGCGACCGTACTTCAAGAATTTCTCGACCCGTGGACACCACTGCTCGAGCTGGACCGAGGCAACACTTGTCTTTTCAAGCTTTCTCAGGTTTCATCGCCGGGCCCGACCTGCCCGACAATGGTTGTAGCCCCTTGTGCGGCAGAGCGCCACTCATGAATCCCACCAGCTCTCTTGGCGGAGCCGGTCTCATGCGTTTCGCCCTTGTTGCCACAAGTCCCTCCTTCCCCTGCTCGGGTAAACGATTTTCCCCTCCACCTACCTCCTCCCCCTGGCCTGGAAGGGGCGCCCAGCGAAGGGTTCGAGCGTCCAAGATGGCCCAGAATGGTTCCAAACGGGCTTGGTGAAACGCAGGATGGCACCCAAGAGTGTTCCTGATAGCTCCCAGCAAGGTCACATAGTGTGCGACACACATCCAAAGTACATCAAAGTGGCCTCAAAATGGTGTCAGGCGCCCGTCGAACACTCCAAAAAAACACCCAACACACTAAACTATCATCAGCACGCGGGAAGATATCCATGTATGATGTGTTTTCACCCGTTCGTTTCCGATGGTTTTTTGAAACCTCCACATGGCCCCAAAATGATCCAAAACAACCCCACGAGGGCCCAAACAACTCACAACACCGCCCACAAAACAACAATAAACACATCCAAAACGTTATTTCTGAGCATCCGAACAGGGACCTTGCATTCGTAACCTATTTGTTTTATCCATGGGGCCCAAAACGGCCTCAATATACCCCCTCATACCCCCCGCACGACCCCAAAAGGTAACCAACAACGCCTGAAGATACGCCCGAAACGGCCTCAACAGTGCCTCGAAAACCTCCGCGAAGACCCCACTAGAGCAGACAAGCGATTCCCATAAACATGCGGGGAAAAGGTTTCCAAAGGGGCTGTTGCGCGGCATTGTTTTACCCGTCCCCGATCACTGCAGCTCGCCAGGCGAGAAGTTTCTGACTGGGGCGGTGGGGATACGCGAAACGTTAAAACTGTCACGTTGTTTCCACGGTTGGTTTCGTCGCTCCTGTTTTCTGCAGGTGGCATGCTGCATTTCGAAATATGATAACTGGTTCGGCCCCCGTACCTGACCTGTCCCAATACGTGTAATAACCGGCCAATCGATCCACGGGACATGGTCCGATCCACGCTGGAGGTTATGAGCGACTGGACTGCCTTTGGATCGATTATGGGCCTCTGCCTGTTTGTTTCGGCGTTACTTTTCTATTTCAACGCACTGGGCGAACATCACATTGGCGGCCGCACGTCCCCGCCTACTTTCGCCAATTCTGCCACTCGTAACTCTACTCGGGTTGTGCAGGTTTCGCGTTTCTTTTCGCGTGCGTTGAAAATAAAAAACAACGCGGGATATTCCGAACATTTCCATCCGTGCCCACACGCGCTCGCACAGCAAATCATGGGCAGTTGCAAGCGTGACGTTCTTCCTCAAATTCGTGAGTCGTCGCATTCTGGTTCGCCCGCAGGCCTGCTTTGGCGCCCTCGCAATCCCATTGACTCTACGCGGCAAAACAAAACGGTCAGAAATTGGCAAGGTCGTATTCCGCCCAAACCTTGTCGTGGAGTAGCCGTGCTGATTTGACAGACGGATCTGAAGGAATCCAGAACGCGGCTGCGCGGTGAAGCCCGCGCTTGAACTGCGCGCGCGCCGCCCGGCAGTGGCCACGGCACTTTAACCGACCGCCGGCACTTCTGCAGTAGCATGGGGACCAAGTCGAAATAACCCCTCCTCCTCTCCCCCTCCTCGTCACATCGTCCTTCTCCTCCTTTCCCTCCTCCTCCTCCTCATTCTACTGCGCCGTCCTCCTCGTGGGTTTCATCCCCCCTTTCCCATGGGCATCCGTTCGTCGGCTCCTCTGCGCCCCTCCCCGCTGTCGTTGTTCAGTCGTCGTGATCGTCATCGCCCGCGCCCCCGTCCTTCGCTGCCCTCCCCGCCCGAAACCCCCTCGCCGCTGGCTTCCTCAACGTCGCCGCCCTTTCCTTCTCCACCCTGGGAATCTCCATCCGCAGTTCCCGCTCCAGCCTGTTTCCCACGCCCTGCGCCCCGCCGCCCTTTCCCCGTGCCCTTCCCCGCTCCGCCGCCCCATGTTTCCCTGAGCGCGCCCTTGTTAACGGCGGCTAAGCATGCTCGCGTCCATGCGCTGCTTCTGTGCGATTTGTTGCTGCGGGGCTGGGCGGCGCCCCCGATAGTTTCCATTGGGAGCCTACGCCCGCGATCCAGGAAACCGAAGCCAAAATGATTCGGTTGCTCGTGGCCCGTGGCCCCTCGTGGCCCGTGGCCCCTCGTGGCCCGTATAAAGAAACAGGTTCCTCCACCGACGCGCGTCGAATACAGCAACGGTCCTGGGCGCAGGCAGGGGGGCGGAAACAGAGCGAAAGAGTAGGAGGGTGGATAGTCGGACGATCATGGAGGAGTGAGCAAGCATGGGTACGCGGAGTAAGAGGAATGGAACCACCAGGGGGCAACGCCCAACAAAAACAAAACGGAGGAAACGAAGGAGGAGGCGCATGGTGACGAGAGACGGGGCGACGATGGGAAAGGCACGCATTATGATGGGCGGACGAGGACATGAAGGTAAATTGGACTGGGCCCGGGGAAGAAAAACCGAACCTGGGGCTCCCGGCTCACATCCAAGACGACAGAAAATGTGCAGCAAGGGCACCGCAATAACTAGGGGGTGGAGGGCACAAGGCGGGGAACTGAACGCAGGAGAATGGAGTGGAGAAGGTAGACGAAGTGAAGATAAAACGACCAGACGAGGAACGGCAAGTTTCGAACTCGAATTTGCACTCTGCCTTGGCTTTGTTGTTCTCAATTCCCCGGTGCACTCGGCAACCTCAACTTCTCTGGATGTGCAACGGGCTACACATACCCACCTCGACTTGCAAGGTCCTCTGACCGCAGCTCAAATTCAGGAATAATCGTCAGACCCTTGACTTCCTCCCGTGAAGGGCAACGATAAGGGGGGGAATGGCATAGGGGGGATGCATCGACCTGGAATCGACGATACATCGTCGATAGATCGGCGGTAGGCCCCGACAGTGCATCCGCACTTTCCTGGGCGGGTTGGGGCTATCAGTCCCCTTGTCGGCGATCAATGGACGATTGGCGGTCGATGCGTCCACCCCTATGCCGATCCCCACCTATATCGTTGTCCCCAATCCCGAGACCTCCAGGCGTTGCACTTGGTTTCGTACTGTGTTGTAGTTTCCTCGGGGCCCGATGCCTAGGAACAGTCGCCGCGGTCCGAGACAAGCGAACAGCATATGACTTCGGAGGTCCAACTCCAGGAACATCGCCCAGGCTCTCCGACCCACGCACCCCACTGCTTCACTCGCTCTACAATTACGCAGTATGCATGCGTACCCCTTCTGTGTCCTCATATCATGCCAGAGCGAGGCAAATGTTATTCCGCACTGTCTTGAGCGTATAGAACGCTTTAGGATCGACACTTTGCTCCCGTCGTTGAAAAAGGCGCTCGCCCCAGCGCGGGCAACAATTCCGGATCCGAATATAGTTGCGTCGTTGTGGGCCCGTTCCTTTCACCTTGTCAGCCTTCCGCCGCTCCCCCTATCCTGCTGATGCTGCTGCTCATCCTGGTCGTCTTCCTTCCTCATATGCATCCTCATGCTCATCCTCTCGCCCATCCGCCGCCTCCTACTCCTCACCTCCTCCTCCTCCTCCTTCAATGTGCAAAGCTCTCCTTCTTGACTGCGCAACGCACGTTGAAATTCCAGGCCCGCTGTGACACCCGTAGGCGGATAGAGCCCAATAAGATCAGTGGGACAGGATGGGCGGGGCATGTTGTCAGATATGACGCGAGCGAAACTAGCTTGCCCCTCGCCTCTGTGTTCTCTTCTCGTCTCTGCCCGTCTCTGATCTGGTTCTCCTCCCCGTCCTCCCTCCTCCCCTCCCCACCGCGCCGCTAATTATGGTTCCCTCCCCGTCACGTCCTCCGCCCTCCCCCCCCCTCTGCACCATCCGTTGTCCGCTCCCCTCGCTCACTCGCCGTGGGGGGAGGGCGCACGAGGAGAGAGACAGCTCTGGAGAGAGGGAGACGGCAGAGCCAGCAGGCAGCACTCCCGACATCAATCAGAGCCAGCAATTCTGCCATTGCTGCGCGGGCATCATGCCCTTGCTGTTACGACGGGTCTGACGACCCAACGGGGACGCTCACGGATTTACAGGCCAGCCACTCCATAAATGCATCGGGCGTGCGCGCAAACAGCGCGAGCCGTACGGGAAACTGTGGAAGAACGTGTTCCTTCGACGTTGGTCATCCATCATGGTCTAGTGACCGTCCGTTATGTTGACCCGCCCCTCATCTTGTTTGAACACAAATTGATCCATTCGAGTGGATGCCCCTATATGATTCGCGGCAGCGGATGGGATGCGAGGGAGTTCGGCGGGATGCTGGACAAGAGGGCGGACCAGGCTTATCTACAGTGGTTATGACCTCTTGTTTGCTGCATCCTGTGCACTGCCTCCTGTACGCGATTCCCTTACCTCTTCTCTCTCCACCGGCTTGCTCCCCTCTTCTCGCCTCGATATTCACCATCGCTCCTCCGACCTCCTCCTCCTCCTCCTCGCCACCTCATGCTCCTGCGTTTCCGGAGGATGCACCCCCTCCTCCGCCTCCTCCGCCTCCTCCCCTCCTCCTCCTCCTCCTCCTCCTCCTCCTCCTCCTCCTCCTCCTCCTCCTCGACCTCCTCCTCCTACGCATCCTCCTCCTCCTCTTCCCGCCGAGGCTCCTCCTGCTCCTCCTCCCGGCCCCCTCCTCGTGACCCTCTTGTCTCAACCCTACCCCCATTCCAGCTCCTCCTCCTCCTCCTCCTCCTCCTCCTCGCCCCCCTTCCCTCGCCCCTCGCGCCCTCTCCTTTCCCGCTTTCCCGCTTTCCCTCGCTCCTCGCTCCTCTTCCCTCTCTTTGTCCCTCGCCCCTCGCCTTCCCCCCCCCCCCCCCCGCCTGTCCTTCTCTCACTCGTCCCTCGGAGAGGAGGACGGAGGAAGGAGAAGGCGAAAGGAGAGGCGGAGGAGGAGGAGGAGGAGGAGCAGGAGGAGGAGGAGGAGGAGGAGAAGGGAGAGGAGGAGGAGAGGGAGGAGAGGAGGGGGAGGGGGAGGAGGCGGAGGACATTCGCTGGCTCCCTCCTTCTCCCCACTGCCTCTTGGTTTTGGCGCCCCCTCGCTCCCTTCCCTCCCCTTTCCCTTCTGTCCCCATGCCTCGTTCTCCTCTTCCCTTCTTCCCTCCCCTTCCCACGCTCTCCCCTCCCCTCGTGGCCTCCTCCCCGCGCCAACAAAGAGGGGGGAGGGAGGCGGCCAGGGCCCCAGTGCCGTGCCGCACGGACGAGTCCCGAAGGAGCTCGAAGCTCGAAGGAGAAGGGCGAGGTCCTCCTTGGATCTCGAGCGGGGGCTCGCGGGCGCGCCCGGCTCCTTCATCTTGCCGTCGGCGGCGGCGAAGAACGCCGCGTCGAAGCTGTCCCCGGGGTGGGCGCCTCCGCCGCCCAGGACCACCCTCTTGTGTGTGTTCCTCCTGCTAGGGTGCGTTCCTCCTCATCGACGATCACTCTTCATCGCCCTCCTCCTCCTCCTCCTCCTCCTCCTCCTCCTCCACCTCGCCACATCGGCCTGGAGTCCCGAGGGCTTGGCGCATCCTGCATCAGAAGCTGAAGGCACTTCCCCGGGGCACGAGGAGGACTAGGGTGCGAGGTGCTATCTCGGCGGTGATCTGCAGGCTGATGACGACATGGCATCCTGGCATCGAGAAACCGTGGCAGATGAGTGAGGACATCGACAGGATGACACAGAGCTCCTCGACGAGTTCACCGCTGGCATCAAGATAGGACTGGTGGGCTAAGGCAGCTCAAGACGACGATGATTCTCCTGGCCAGGCTCCAGCGCGACGGCAAGCACGGCACCTGCGCGATGCAACTGCAAGTGATGTCAGGAGCTTCCTTGACGCGGGTGTCTGGCAATGCCCGTGCAACGTGGGCCACGATGACTACGAGAACACGCGCAAACTGCTAGACAAAGCGGTGGAGGGAACCGCAGAGGTCTCTTTTGACCTCAAGGAGAAGTCATTGCCGACAGCCGCACACATCTCACACGTCAGATTGCATTGCGAAGCTTCTCGCATTGCCACGAAACTCGTGAGACAATGCCGGAACGATGGGGAGGGAGGACGAGGGAAAGAGAGAGAGTGGGCGTGCTTGCCGAAAACGGTGTGCACGATCATCAGTGCGTTGAACCTGTGTCAAGGCTAGAAGCAAAAAGCCAACGGTAAACGAAGGAGAAGGGAGGAGGACGGAGAGCTACTAACACCTAGATGCGGCAATCTAAACGGTCGCAACCGTACGTTGCGCACTGTAATCAAACTGATCAGTAGCCCCGGCCTTGGGCCAGGCAAGGGGACAGAGAGGAGGACAGAGGCAAACTCAGACAACAACCTCGCACGCGCCTAGGCCCATCTGACTGGACTGCGCCGCACCAAAGCCCTCGCGAGCGCAACTGGGGGAGACAAAGGGGGGGGAAACGGGGCACGGAGCGAGGAGAGGAGGGCGGAAACGGCTGGGTGTAAACGCTGGTCAGCCACATCACACAAATCGGAGGGGATGGGAGCAAGTACAGTAGGGGCAAGGAACGGAGAAACAACAGGGGGGGGGGCAGCACCTGCACCCTCGCGCCGAGCATTCCGACCTCCAGGCGCCCCACTCGCCTGGAGCATTTCGTCCGGCCTGCGTGGATCGGACACCAACATCGCGATCGGATCCGCACGGAAAACGAAGACGCGAACCGCACCAAACAGGGTAGATGAGAGCAGATGTGCTCTGAAAGCGACGGCGCGCCCACAACGCTCCTGTAAGTCCAGCGAGGCGAGTCGCCCAACCAAGCGGCGGCGCTGCATGGGCCCCTGCAAGCCAGATTCTAGAAGGGAAAAACAAGGTCAAGATGAAACAAGTTCAACTGATCGTAAGTGGACACGGCACGAGCCGATTACCACGTACTCTCGGGAGTGAACCGTTGCAGAGAGGGCGAGCAGCTCAGAGGAAGAAACAACACCACGTTCAGTGTAGCTGCGCTGCCATGCGGCCGATGCCGACCTGGGCCGGCGACCCAGGAGAACGCCTGTGCGTGGAAGCAGCGGCCTCGAGGCGGGAATCTGCGGATTTCGTAAGACGTGGCCGCGGGAGCGGCTACACGCTCTCTCTCGCTCTCTCTCTCTCTCTCTCGCTGTCGCTCTCTCTCCTTTTCTCTCCCTCTCTCACACTCAAACACACATTCAATACTCACGCTTTCCCTTGACGTGCTGATGGCGGCAGTCCGTGGGTTGATCATCAAACAAACATTGGGCGCATGCTGAGCAAATGTGCAAACTTGTGTAGTATGGCCTACAGAGCTGGCGTACACAGCTGACACGCGTGGTGCAGTTCAGGTGGGACTTCCAAGCAACAAAGAACACACTCACGATACGCACGCACGAAGGACGCACACTTTCAACCGACTCGCTTATGATGGCAATCAGCGGGGAACGTCAGCAACTCGAGGATGCACGATAGGCTAAGTTGCAAGCATGGGTGACAGAGCGTGCAGAGCTGGCAAACGTAATATAATCAAGAAGGGACCTCCAAACGGTCAATGTCGGGACCCCCGAAATCTAGGACCGTACACCGCAAAGCGGAAAGCCCGGAAACGCGAACACCAACCCTAGAAAGCGAGACCCGAACCTCGGAAAAGGAAACAACCAACCCTGGAAAATGAAACCCACCCCCGACCGTGGACCGCGATAACCCGGACCTCGGAAATGCCAGAGACACCGTCGTCGGAACTGTGGCGGACTTGGCGCAGGCAGCTGGATAGCTAGAGAATCGGAACCGCTTCCTCGTCAAAACGAAGCTCGCGCCCAACACGGAGGGGAACGTGCAGCATCGTTGACATACCCTGAACTCTCACGTTAGCAACGTCGGCCCCCAGAGGTCCAGAGACCTGAGCCGTACCTGACGGTCCCCGAGTTCGTTGAAAACCTCCGAGACTCCAAACTCCGCAAGCCCGTCCGATGAATTTTGTTTGCGTCGTCGGTCGGGATCTGGGGTCCTTTCTCCTCCTCCTCCTCCTGCTCCTCCCCGCTCCCTTCAAAACTATGCACAACCCCACTTCCGCCGCTCCACTGCTGGGGGCCGCACACGCCTGGCCTACAGCGATGACTTCTGTCGGTTGCTTAGTAGGCACCGAGCAAGACCGAAACGGCCGACTGAAGTCCGACCAGCTGCACATTACCAGCCTGGAACATATCCCTATCCCTATGCTGGGCACCTCCTCATTACGATGCCAATCTTAAGGATTCCCTTATTTTTGATGGCGAATCCCTAAGATTGTCATCGCCTTTTGGCGTGTCAATCTTAGGGATAGGGATACGTTCGAGGCTGTTAAGCACACTTCATCTGTTGGCGCACGCCTGCGACGTTTTTCCGTTCGCACTTCTGCCCGAGGATCCGGTTGCGACGCAGCGGGGGGGCGGGGCGGGAAGCAAAGCTCCGATGCCGCCCGCCACGTGGCAACGCAGCTCTCTTTCCCACCGCCCTCCTCCTCCTCCTCCTCCTCCTCCTCCTCCTCCTCCTCCTCCTCCTCCTCCGCCTCCTCCTCCTCCTCCTCCTGCTCCTGCTCCTGCTCCTGCTCCTGCTCCTGCTCCTGCTCCTGCTCCTGCTCCTGCTCCTGCTCCTGCTCCTGCTCCTCCTCCTCCTGCTCCTGCTCCTGCTCCTGCTCCTGCTCCTGCTCCTGCTCTTGCTCCTGCTCCTGCTCCTGCTCCTCCTCCTGCTCCTGCTCCTGCTCCTGCTCCTGCTCCTGCTCCTCCTCCTCCTCCTCCTCCTCCTCCTCCTCCTCACCCCCCCAGGTATCGCATTTTCCACTCGACTCCCGTCACGCGGCAGCGCCAGGCGCCCGAAACCAATGGTCCTCTGCCCGATCCGCCGCGTGGCATCGCCTGGGGTGGCGAACACAGTGGAGGCCAGTCTTATGTCGGGCCTGTCCCCCTGTAGGGGGATTTTCGACGAAAAAGCAATACCCCAAACATACCCCAAAAAGGCAAAACGAAATACTACTGTTTTTTCGAAAAACAGTCCCTGTACTACTCCTGTTTTTTTTTTGTTTTTTTGTTTTTGTAAAAAAATATAATAATACTAATAATAATAATAATAATACCATGTTTGGTATGTTGTATTTGTCATCGAAATCCCCCCAGGCCCAGGCCCGACTTAAGGCCAGTCCACCAGAAACCTCCCGCAAGAAAGCCAACCCCGAGACCCCAGGGCGTGCATGGATCCTTGGCGCGGGGAACGTCGCGCCTTCCACCGCAGCACCATCGGAGCCCAAGAAACCGAGGGCACCCTGGAGGCAAGCAGGGTGCTTCTTGGCATGGGCCTCCACTGTACTTGCCGCATGACGTGGCAGGGGACAGACGTACAGTACTGTTCCACTCATACTCGGCACGTGGCAGCGCAAGGGGCGCGGGAAAACGCTTGAGCACTCTGCTCCCCACCCGCCACGCGACGCCGCGGGTTCGCTCCTCCCCGCTTCCCTCCCCCCCGTCGCCGCTCGTCTTCGCCGCTCCTCCTCGCCCGCCCTCCTTCTCCTCCTTCGTCAACCTCACTGCTCGATCCTCCTCCTCCTCCTCCTCCTCCTCCTCCTCCTCCTCCCGCTCGTTCGATCTCTGTGAGCTCTTCCCCGTCCGCTTCTGTCACGATCGGGTCCCTCCTCGATCCCTGTGCTTCCTGCTTGACTGTGTCGCTTCTCTTCCTCCTCCTCCTCCTCCTCCACCTCCTCCTCCTCCTCCTCCTCCTCCTCCTCCCTCCTCCTCCTCCTCCTCACTGACCGCCCTTTCCCCCCGTTTCCTCCTCCTCGCTCCGCTTTCCTGTTTGGCACCGCTGAGTGCCCGCGATTGGGCTCGCCGACGCAGGACCCATCACTTGCCCCGACGCTTCAAGCTGCCACCCGACTGCCGCGCCCGCGCCCCGCTGCCGCGCCGACGCTCCGCTGCCAGGCCGACACGGCCATGTCCTCAATATCGTAGCGAGGCGAGGGATGCGCAGGGGCATCGTGCTGCAGGCGGCGTTTTGTTATGTCACAAGACGGTGCCGACGATCCAGCGAGGGGGAGAGACAACCAAATACTACTGTCAAACCTGCTGGTTTGGAGAGGACCCTCTGAAGAATTCTGGTGGTGCCCCCCCCCCCCCCCCGGACTGCCTTTTACTACCCCTTCCAGTAGTTCGTGAGGATTGCCCTCTCTGGTGATCATCTGAATCAATTGGAAGTGGCTCGCTTTGTGGATGTGGGTGGAACAAATGTTCAAAATCAATGTGAACACGTGTGCACTGAGTTTGGCGGACGGAAGACGGTATACGACAAACTGTGCCGCCGCCGTGGGCGCCTGCCACAGGGCGGCGTGACTGTTTAGTTCCATACGGTGGCAGCAAGTGCGCCTGACGGCGAAGCGGAGTGTCGAATTCCTTTCCCAGTCCGCGAGTAACTCATCAAGCGGCACCACATGCGATAGCAGCCTGCACCAATGGCCAACTGGCATTGATCCATGCCTATTGTTACCAGCCTCGAGCGTATCCCTATCCCTAAGATTGACACGCCAAAAGGCGATGACAAGGGAATCCCTCAGATTGGCATCGTGATGAGGAGGTGCCCAGCACAGGGATAGGGATATGTCCCAGGCTGGTAATCTTGAGCGTGGGGGAAGCGGGTCCTGAGGCCAGCGGGTCCTGGACCCCGGGCCCTTTCCCCCTGGGACGAGCTTGTCGTCACGAACCGTGCTCTGACACTCCCGGAGCCCGAGGAGGGCCCCGGGAGCCCGAACATACGGCGGAAAAAACCGCAGGGCCCGTGCTCTTCAGGACCCTTCCTCCCCCCCCTCTCTGAGGTCCGACGTCGCGCAAAACTCGACACGCCGTCGCAAAAGCCACGACGGGGGCCCCCGACCCTCTGCACGAACGAGATGGGTGCGGAAAGAATGGGCACGATGCCCAACAGCAGCTCCTGTTCATCTTGAACCGGACTCGCTGCCGGTGTCGCCGCGGCCTGTGTCCGTTCGAGACAGAAGGCCGCCTGCCCAACAGCGGCCGCTGTTGGTTTGGGGCAAATTGTGCATTTGCACCCATTTTTTCCGTACCCATTTCGGGCGGCCAAAGGCCCTGGACCCTCTTGCTCTGCGCCGGTGCTCGAGCCGGCTCGATCCGTGCCCGGCCCACGGGGCCCGGCGCCCGGCGGAGATGCGCGGCTCGACAGCATTGGGCCGCCGAGATCTTAGGGCCACGGCATGCCCATGAGGTGCTAACGTTAGGTCGGGAATGTCCTCCTACAGGAGGATGTGGGACGAAAAATGGAGAGGAAAAAAAACAGTGAAACCATGCTCAAACACAGTTTAAAATCGTCCCCCGATATTTTTTTGTGACTATTTGGGAATATTCCTCCTGTAGAGGGACACGCCCGACTTCATTCGGCGGAGGTCAAGCCTCCCTTTGATAAAAGCCACCCTTTCGTGGAAACGGCCTGAGTCCGAAACCGACGGACATGGACCCGCCAAAATGACGGTCGCGAAGTCCTCTCGCGAACCGAAAACGGCCAATTCGCTAATCGACGTGTCAGGGTAGGAGGTCTGTCAACCTCCGATGAGTGCTAGCGGTCCGTGGCCGGCCCGAGCGTTATGTCGGGCGTGTCCCCATACGGGGGGCTTTTCGACGAAAAAATACAAGAACCTCAAACATACTCCAAAAAAGGTCCAACAATACCCAGAGCATAGTCCCCAGACTATTTTTTTAGTATTTTTGTTTTAATTCCCACCAGCCCTCTGGACGTCGGTGGTTTAGAGCGTTTCTTCTTCCACCCCTCCTTCTTCCCCTTCGGGGAGGGGTTTACCCCTCCCCCCACCCCCTCCCCACTGACCTGGACAGGGGGGGCCGCGACGCGTTGGAGCGTCCAAGATGAGCCAAGACGACTCCAAGAGGGCCTCAGGGAGCCCAAGATCGCCTCCAAGATGGTTCAAGATAGCGCAAGATGCCTCAAGATGGTTCCGAAGATGCTCCAAGACGCTCCAAGACCGCCCCAAGACGGCTCTAAGTGTCCACTAGAGCTCCCCTCGGATGCCCCCAAGAAGCCAAAATGTTTCAAAACCCTAGGGAAAATCAATGTTTTTGGCGTTCTCGCGCTTTCGCTTCCGATGCCCACCCGAGGCGTCAAGATAGCTCCAAGATGGCTCAAGATAGCTCCAAGAAGGGCCCAAGAAAGCCCGAAGACGGCGCAAAGAGCGCCCAAGAGCGCTCCAAGAGCCCTCCAAGAGCGGTTCAGGAGGCGATTTTAGAGGCTTTCCAAGAGCGACGCTAGTTAGTGCTTCCGCTTTCTTTGACAGATCCCCTCCAATATGGGCTCTACCAGCGCCTCTGAGGCCTCCAACAGCGCTTCAAGAACGCCCCAAGAGACGCCCAAGAGGCCTCCAGGAGGCTCGCAAGATAGTGAAAGATGGGCCAAGACGGTTCCGAAAGAGCTTCGGGGAGCCCAAGATAGCCTCCAATATTATGGCTGAAAATCCCACCAGCCCTCTGGGCGTCGGTGGTTTAGAGCGTTTCCTCTTCCACCCCTCCTTCTTCCCCTTCGGGGAGGGGTTCACCCCTCCCCCTACCCCCTCCCCACTGACCTGGACAGGGGGGGCCGCGGGTAGTTAGAGCGTCCAAGAACGACCCCTGGGAGGGCTAAAATTCGACACCCCTCACGAGGATCGTGCCCCCCAGGGGGGCGACGCTAAAAAATGCATCCCCCTTCTGCGATCGATGTCCTCCAAGAGGGCCTCAAGAGACGTCTCGGACTCTCCTCTTGCGCTCTGCGCGCGGGCGGGCGGAGCGCCGCCCGCCCGCCCGCGAGGCCCAAGAGCCCACCAAAACGTTCGAAGATACCTCCAAGACGCCACCAGGGAAGAGGAAGAGGCGGAGGAGGAGGAGGAGGAGGAGGGAGGAGGAGGAGAAGGCGGAGGAGAAGGAGGAAGAGGGGGAGGAGAACAGCTGCCGATCATCGGCGCTCTTCGTTCGAGTGCCTGGTGTAGGATGGGCTGGTGGGGATACGCGAAGCGTCAAGAATTTTGTTGGGTGCATCTTTTATTTCTCGTCGAAAATCCCCCTGAAGGGGGACAGGCCCGACTTAACCCGAGCGGGCAGAGCCCCGTCCCCGACCCCGCCGCCCCAGCAGCACCGTTGCAGGCCTCCAGGCAGTACCTGCCGCCCGGGGATTCCCGCTTCACCTCGGGGAGCGGGCCGCCGCGCCCCGCCGCATCCTCCTTCCTCCTTCTCCTCCTCCTCTTCCTCCTCCTCCTCCTCCTCCTCACTGTTTGGTTAGGACCGAACGCAAATGGCTGTGCTCGCTGTGTCACCAAGTTGCCCCCGTGCATGATGTTGCAGCCTTTGCGGCGACGCAGTGTCAAGCGGCGAGCCCTGATCTCTCTGGGCTCGCTGATCATGGGGTGGTGCGGGCTGGTGGGGCGGTGACGGTTGGGGGGAAGGTCTGTCACACCTCACACAATTTGCATTTCTGGCCCAACTTTGGGCTACATTTTTGTTTGACGTGCGGTAAAACGGCCACGGAGGACCCACGTCATTTAGTTGCCGAATGTAAAGACCGCGCCAAGAAAGGTCTTCAGAACCTTCAACGAATTCAAAAGGGTCTGTTTCCCAGCCACGCGGGGCCGTCGAAGACGTCCCAGGCACGTGAGCTGGGCATCGTCAGGCGCGAGGCTGCCCTCCGTGGCCCGCCGCCTGTTGCTCGCTGAACTCGCTGCCACCCCGCGGATATCAGCGAATTCCAGCGAATTCCTCCTCCTCCTCCTCGTTCTCCTCCTCCTCGTCCTCCTCCTCCTCCTCCTCCTCCTCCCTCCTCCTCCTCCTCCTCCTCCTCCTCCTCCTCCTCCTCCTCCTGTTCGTTTTCCTCCTTCCTGCTCCTCCTCCTCCTCCTCCTTTCTCCTCCTGCTCCTCCTCCTCCTCCTCTTCCTCCTCTCCTTCGCCCCTCGCCCCCCTGAGACTCGAGCGACGCGACTTGTTGTTCACAACGGGCGCGCTCGCCGAGCTCCGGGCTCGCCCAGCTCCGGGCTCTGGGGCCACCGGCTAGTCACAGATCGCTCCGGCTCGAAGTTCTGCAGCAGAGAGCTGGGGTCTAGGGCTCTGGTCGTGATGGGCCACGCTGCTACGACTGCTTCGTGACGTCGGACGTCAGGGTCCCGTCTCCTCCCGCTTCCCCTTGACAGGGGGAAGGAAGAGGGAAGAGCCACGGGCCAAGCGGCTTCGGAAGGGCGTCTTCGGACACCCTTGCATGGGGGTTCAAAAGAACTTCTTAATGCATCTAGGCGCAAGAAACTGTTCTGCGGGCCTCCCCTCTTTCCTCCTCCCCTCTCCCCCCCTCTGGGGACTTTTACCTCTGCTCCCTCGCCTCCTCCCCCTCCTCCTCCTCCTCCTCCTCCTCCTCCTCCTCCTCCTCCTCCTCCTCCTCCTCCTCCTCCTCCTCCTCCTCCTCCTCCTCCTCCTCCCCACGCCCTCACACCCGAGCTCCTGGCGCAGATACAGGCTCGGCGGGATCCCAAGACCGCCCCAAGACGACCCAAGAAGCCTCCTAGAGAGCCCCAAGATGGCCCCAAGACAGCCCAAGAGGCGCCCAAGATGGCCCAAAAGGGCCCCAAAACGGCTCCACGAGAGGCCCAAGACGGGGACCAGGAACCGAAAAGTCCAGCCTTCAGCCCCAAGATGCCCCCAGGAGGCCCCAAGAGGCCGCCAAGCGGCCCCAAGGGGCCCCCAAGAGGCACCCCAAGAAGCCTCAAGAGGCCCCCAAGAGGCCCCAAGAGGCCGCAACAAGGCCCAGAAGATGACTCAAAACTGCCTACCAGAGGCCCCCAAGAGGCCCCAACACGGCCCCCAAGCGGCAGGGCAATATGGGCGGGCGGAATGAGCGAAGCGATTGAATCAACCACGAGCATCCTTTGTCTTTTTTTCATACATTCGACGGAGACAACAAATTCTGGGGTAAACCGATTCTGCAATTAGTCGATCCCCTACACGAGCGATGAGCGGGCGATTGGGGGTCGATGCAGCATCCCCCCTAATTGGCGGCGAGCGCGGGGGGGAAGTGAGAAGGAGCAGGCCTCCTCAGAAGGCTCGGAAGCCCCCTGGCCTGCTCAGAAGGTTTTGTAAGCCTTCCCCGAAGACGCAGAGAACTTCTCAGAAGGCGCGAGAGCTTCCGAGAAGTCCCGCCGCCTTCTGAGAGGGCCGTCTCCTTCTCACCTTCCCCCCCCTCGCTCGCCGCCGGCCTGAGCCTCCACCCCCTCCCTGACGCTGCCACTGTCCGTGCGGGACGATCCGGGCAGCCCCAGACCACCCCTCGAAACGAGGAGCAGTCGCCGGAGCGCGCCCCGAGGCGTTAGGTGGCAGGTCAGGGGAGCTTTCTGTAGCACCCCCCGCGCCCGCGCCTGCCAGAGGGGGCGGCGGAATGCAGCCTCGCGCCGTGCCCCGTTCATTCGCACCGGAGGCAGGCTCTGCGGCACTACATGCCATCAAATTGCATTCAATGGGCGCCACATGCTCGAAAGTAGGCTCCCATGATCTGCCACCTAAGAGGCGGCACACGGCCGCCCAGAACCGACAAGAAAACGTCAAACAACCGCGGACCAGGGGCGGCAGGTTCGTGTCGTGCCGACCCCGGCGTTGGCTTCTGACGCCAAGAGTGTCGTTCGACCTTGAACGATCCAGCCATTTCCGGAGCGTCCTTCGCGCCCCCCTGCGGGGGCGATGCAGAGACTTCGGCCCCCTCCTGGGGGGAAGCGTTTGGTCGGGGACCAGTTTCGGGGGGCAAACTTCCAGCTTGAGTCTTCTCAGAAGGCAGGGACAGAAGGCGGGGAGACTTCCGAGCCTTCTGAGAAGGGGCCTCGTGGACTTGGTTTCCTTTGGGATTGACCCTTTTCATCGCTGTTTCGTCTGTAGTCAACCCGTATAATAAGAAAGAGCAGAACATCCACCCTCATAATAATCACCCCGACACGCGAAACCGTTTAGTAAACGCACGCATCGAACAGGGCAGGGCTGTTGAGAAAACGCCCTGGGCCGTTTAGCAAACGCCAATTATCGGCTCTGGGTGGCTTCTCCTTCCTTGCAATAGGAGCGCACGACAAGGATGTTGGAAGGCCGCGGCGCGCAGCCAGCGAAAGCGGCCAAGGATGAGCCGGAGGGGAAGGACGCACAGGGTAACTCTGGGAAGTTGCAGGTTGCTCCTCCTTACTGTGCGGGTTGACTGTAACGAGGAAGCTGCAGGTCGCAACGAAGACCTCGTTGACTTGGTCTCCTTTGGGACTGGTCAGTGTCACCGTAACGCTGGCCACGCTACGCCCACAGGAGGAGGAGGAGGAGGAGGAGGAGGAGGAGGAGGAGGAGGAGGTGAAGATCACGCCAGGTTAGCCGAAATGCAAAAGATCGGATGGTCTTTATGCGTAATGCACGGAGGAGGAGGAGGAGGAGGAGGAGGAGGAGGAGGAGGAGGAGGACGAGGAGGAGAAGGAGGAGGAGGAGGGGCAGAGGAGGAAGAGGAGGGGGGGGAAGAGGAGGAGGAGGAGGAGGAGGAGGAGGAGGAGGAGGAGGGGCAGCGGGAGGCAGGGGGGGGAGGAGCACGCCACGCAACGCTGCCCCTGACCTCCTCCGCGCGGGGAGCGCACCTCGGCGCAGGCCACGTGGCAGTCGTCCTCCGCCGCGCACAGCGGGCACTCCTGGGTGAAGGGGCCCCAGGACACACAAAGAAATACACATACATACAAATATTTATCATATTTCCGGGGCTTCTGTCCTCCCCCCCCACTTCCCATATTTTCAGAATTCTTCTGGGGAGTCGAGGATTAATTGTGTCTGTGTGTTTTTTCTTCTCCTGACTGGGCCGCTGCGAGGAAGGCGGCCGGGCCGGGGCGGGCGCCGAGGGCCAGCGGGGAGGGGACGGCCCGGGGGGCCCGAGGCGGGGGCGGGGGCAGTCGAAGCCAGGGCCGCGAGGGCGCGGGTGCGGAGCGGGGGCCCCCTCGCCGAGGGCCCGGGGCCCCGCGAGCGGGGAGCACAGGGAGGAGGAGGAGGAGGAGGAGGAGGAGGGGGAGGAGGAGGAGGGGGAGGAGAGGAGGAGGAGTGAGGAGGGAGGAGGGGGAGGGAGGAGGAGAAGGGGGAGGGGGAAGGAGGAGGAGGAGGAGGAGGAGAGAGGGAGGAGGAGGAGGAGGAGGAGGAGGAGGAGGAGGAGCCAGAACGGAGGGCCCGGCGGCGAGGAGCAGAGAGGGCACCCCTCGGAAACCGGGACTGTTCTCCACCCACGCGCCCGCTGTAGATACAGGGGGCAGCGCCACCACCACCACCACCAGGGACCACGAGCGGGAGGAGCTGGGGGGGGTCCCCCTGGTGGTGTGGTCCCCTCCCCTTCGCTCGAGAGATCCCCAATCCCCAGCTCGGGGAAGCATCGTGTACCTGCTCGCTGGAGGTGGCCCCCCCTGGTGGTGGTTTCGCTTCTGCATACCCCGAGCGAAGGGGGGGAAGGTTGCCGTTCCCCGGCTGGCGTCTTTCCGCACTGTGGGCTCCTCGAGGATGCCGCTTCGGACCCCGAGACCAACCAGACACGACCTGGGCGGACGAAGGGGAGCGGAGGAAGACGAGCAGGATGAGCAGAAGGAGCAGCGAGGGGGCAGGGACGGCGTATAGGAAGGTCAGGAAAAGGAGGATGACACAGATTCTGACGGCTTTCTGACATGCTCGACAGTCTTTCGATGTGCTTCAGGGGGTATCGAAATGTTCGAGGAGGTTCCCGGACAGGTTTCGGGAGGAGGGGAAGAAGGTGAGGAGAAGAGGGAAGAGGAGGTGGAGGAGGACTGACATCCTGGGTCTGCGCTGCAGAGATTCATAGCGCTCGCCTTCTTCATGAACCTATCCCTGGCGACCGAAGCGATGCTGTCCCCGCCAACGCGGAGGGAACGCCCGACTGGATGTACCCAGGGGGGCAGGGATATCATGGCCCACGCTATGATATCCCTCCCCCCTTAGTCATCACCACCCCCTTCGCCGCCCAGGACGAGCCCTCGATCCCTGACCCCAAGCCGTTTACGACGCTCCCCCCGCCGGCCCTGCAAGAATGCGCCCCGACACAATTCGCCGGCCCAACGGGCCAGAGGCGTGCTAAGATCTCTGGCAACTGGTAACAATACTTCTAGCTCGCGCGCGCGGGGCGGCCCCTGGGGGTCCCCGGGCGAAAAATGCCCCGGGCAAGTCCCGGGAGGGTCGGGTCAGAGATGCCGGACTGGGCAATTTTTCGACACCCCGTGATCACAAGAATCGTGCCCCCCGAGGGGGGGTCCGCAATCGACTACTCCCCCCGTCTGCCCCAAGAGGCCCCCAAGAGACCCCCAAGAAGCCCCAAGACGCCGCCAAGGAGCCCCAAGGGACCCCCAAGAGGTCCCCAAGAGGTCCCCAAGAGGTCCCCAAGAGGCCCCCGAGAGGCCCTAAAGAGGGCTCCAGGGCCGTCGGAATGAGCGAAGCGATTCTAATCAGCGAGAAAGCTCTGGCGCCGCTTCGCCGAGACAGAACACAAATTGTCGGGGCACAGACAGGCCGGCCACCCGCGCCTCCACAATTCAACTCGCGACGGCCACCGGGGGAAGCGCACGGTCTGCGCCCCCCCCCTGCTCGGACGAACAGCCCCAGAACTGCTGGGCCACGGGAGGCAGGAACCTTCTGGTGGGCCCCGGAAACGACAGGGCCGTATTTGTTTAACCGTTTCCGAAGACGCGTCTCTCAAGAATGGAGCCGGCAAGACAAAAAACGGCGACCAAGAACGGCAACAGAAACAGCTCCACGATTGGAACCAGAGCCAAAACCGGCAAAACAACGGCGACGGAACCGGTGAACAAAAACGTCGTCGGAACCTACCAGGAAACGGCAAAACGGAACCGGTAACAAAAACTGCCCTGTCGCTTCCAGGGCCCCCTGAGGCAGGGACTGGCTCAGTGGGGGGGAGCGTCGATGCCTCCTCCCTCTGCTTCTCCTTCCCTTCCTCCTCCTCCTCCTCCTCCTCCTTCTTCTCCTCCTCCTCCTCCTCCTCCTCCCCATCCTCCTCCTCCTCCTCCTCCTCCTCCTCCTCCTCCTCCTCCTCCTCCGCCTCCTCCCCATCCCCCTCCTCCCACTCCTCCTCCTCCCCATTCCCCTTTTCCTCCTCCTCCTCCTCCCTCCTCCTCCTCCTTCTCCTACCTCGTCCTCCTCCTCGTCCTCCTCCTCGTCATCCTCCTCCTCCTCTTCATCCTCCTCTTCCTCCTCCTCCTCCTCCTCCTCCTCCTCCTCCTCCTCCTCGTTCTCCTCCTCGGTGGTGGATCGCCCCCGCCAGCAAGGCCGCACGTTCGTGGGCAGGGCGGGGTGCCCGAACCCCGGACGCCAATGACCGGGCACACGCTGCCGTGGACCGTGCCTCCGTGGATTTGAGGCGCGGCCGCCAGGTCCACGTCTGGAGGTGCGGTGCCGTGCTGAGCGGCAACGCTCTCCGCGAAGGCCCTGATGCAAGGCAAGGGCATCCCGTGTGCCGTGTGCCCAATCAGACATATGATCTCAATCCCACCCGCCCGCCCTTTGGGTGACAGGTGGTCCACCGAGGGGTTCGTCCCTCTTCCACAAAACCTCTTCCCTTCGTGGAGGGGAACCATCCCCCTCCCCTCCCTGAGGTTTTTTGGGAGGGGGCCGATGTGTCAGAGGGTCCCTTTTCGGCCCCTGGGATGGCCAATGTTTGACACCCGTCACAAGGATCATGGCCCCCGAGGGGGGAGCTACATTTAGTACCCCCCCTCTTTAGACCGACCGCCTCCAAGATGGCCCCAAGAAGCGCTGCAGGGCTCCCAAGATGCCCCAAGATGGCTCCAAGAGCGCCCCAAGAGGCCCCACGAGGGCTTCAAGAGGCACCCGAGAGGCACCCAAGAGGCCCCGAGCGGCCTCAGAGAGCCCAAGATGACCTCCAAAATGGCTCCGATAGCCTAAGCTGGCTCAAGATGGCTCCAATGATGCTCCAAGCGGCCCCAACCAAAGACGGCTCGACATGGCCACGGAGCCTTCCAAGCCTCCCTCGCGATTTGACTATGCGTGTTTCTTCCTCTCTCCCCCTGTCAACTCTCATGGGCATCGTTTCTGGATGGGCTGGTGGGGATCCTTTTTTAAAAAACAGCCGCGGGCGGAAGCGCCAGCGGCGGCGAGTAACGGTCGGGTTGCGGCCGAAACTAATTGGCCGGGCGCGCGCGCGGGCCGCGGCCGGCGCCGGGGCGGCGGGTGCAAGGGTGTTGCAACCCATGGGGTCTGACGACCAGGGACCAGCACCCAGGGAGCAGTAATTACGCTGCCAAAGTGGCGCGATGCAAATACCCCCAAAGTGTCAGAGGCCATAGCCAAGCAGTGCGCCGCTTGAGACACTATCTGAACAGTAGGGAGGCTGCCAACCTCGGCGCGGGAATGGCGTACCAAAAGGTCCCAAGGTGTCTGCCATGCTCAAGCAGAAGCGACCGAGGGACACGCAAGCTGTCGCCAGACTGCATACCGTAGGGAGAGGTTGGACTCTGACAGCGCCAGCGAACCGTCGCAGCTTCAGAGTACGCACCAACGCAGCCAAAAGGCGCGAAATTCGTGGTGTCAGTAACCGAACGAGGCACGTCAGGCCCGGGAGACAACCCCGAATAGATGCGTTCGCAAGCGAGTCACCAGGTAACATGATGTGACGCTATGCGGAAGGTACAACTGCCCCAAACCTCTACCAGGCACAAGTCGCAGGCGACTGCCAACCGGAGATAAGAGCAGGGACGCGTACCAGGGAGCATCAAACGTGACCAGCATACAGAGCGCCGCCTATCCTTGGTACCCTGGCGTACCAGAGTGAAGTGTAAGACGATGGCGCTCAGGGAAAGCTGTGCTGCCGCTTACCAGCTGCAGCCCAAGCAACAGCCAGTGGTCAGCTGGTGGGGATCCGCGAAGCGTAAAGAATTGCAGACCGCATCAGTTTGCACTGCTCAATATTAGGATCTAACCCCCAATCCTCCAGCGGAGCCACGGCTAGTCCGTGGATCCAAGGTGCCGATCCCTTCTGGGGCTCAGAAACGACATTCCGGACGTGCACCCCGCGAAGCGTTGGTGAGCACCCCACGGCACATGGCGCCAATGCCGCCTGATTTGGCAACTGAGCGCGTCGGCCGCCTGATTTGGCAACTGAGCGCGTCGAATTGGAACGAAGCCGGGGCCCATCGCTACCCCACGCGCCTGAATCAAAATCCGCGCATCCTCGACGCATGAATTGGCGATAGGGGCTCGATGCTCCCCGCCCTGAACCTGGAACTACAGTCAACCCGTATCATAAGGATGCGCGGTAAGGATGCAGGGGCCTTGAAGGCCCATGTCAACGTTTTGCGAACGAGGTTGACCGGCGAAAGTCGCTAAGCATGGGCCGAAGGGGGCAAGGATGCAAGGATACCCTTGGGGCAGGTTGCCCATCCTCACTATGCGGGACGACTGCATCCACCCGTCCCGCTGCCCCTGAAGAGATGCCCCCCCCCCCTGAGGGGGCGAGCGACCTCTCAAATGCTGCCCTCCCCGCTTCGCCCTCCCACCCCCCCTCCCCCCCCCGAACCCTCGGCGCGCCCCCCCGCCCCCCCGCGCTCCTCTGCACAGCCCACCCCCACACCCGCTTCGCGCTCGTCCGCCCTCTCCTCCGATCCCTGCCCCC